ACTATTCATGTTAATGTATATTATCATTCATTATTATTTTTTGGCAGTCTTGCATAGGGTAGCTATCTGTGGGAGTTTACCAATGATGAGCTTGAGGATACGTGAAACAAGATAGATAGATATTTTTCGCTGCCAGAGCATTGCCAAACTTTTATATACCCAGTTTCAGGATTTACAGCGCCATTTAGGGTATACAAATTTATTATTATTTGTAAGATGTTATTGTCATGTTAGTTATTTTAATTTTTATTACTATAATTGTGAAAATTATAGATATAGCTATATGAGACGCTTCCAGCTGTTCGTGCTGATGGATCTGCGTTACGAAAAAAACAGAGACACACATCAGATCAAACTATGGAGTGGTACCAAAAGTTTGAAATGGGTTGATGTGAACAAGATTTTTGATATGAAAAAGGTTTTTAAATATTATTTTAATTTAAAAAAAATTCATGATTGCACTTTTATATGCATTTTTTGTTAAATTGTTTTAGGAGGGACGGCGACCAAGACATAGCATGTCACCAAGTGATGATGAGATTGCGTCTTCTTATTATATGTCATGTCAAGAGTATGTATATCGTGAATGAAATTTAGTTCCATACCCAGTACGAGACTATTGTAGGAGACAAGACGAATCTTCGTCCAGTATATCTTCTAGTGGTCGCTCTTATGGTAAAGGTGGATGTAGTGGGAAACCAAGCTTAGAGGAGTTGGCGAAATAGCTACATGTACTTGAGCAACATGTGTTTATGAACCGAGAACCTACTAAGGTGTTTGTAGCAGAAGTGGATAATGAAAGCATATGGAACAACATCACTTTTGATGATACTGCAGAATTCCAAACAAATTTTGGTGAAAAGGTTAGTGACATCCAACATTTATGATATAATTTGTTAACAAATTTGTAAACTTTTGTTAATATCTATAGCTGAAAATGTAGGTTTTAGATGATAAGGCAATGAGTAAAAATAAAGCCAATGAAAATGTATTTGGTGATATTGAAGACGAAAAGGTTAATATATATATATATATATATATATATATATATATATATATATATATATATATATATATATATATATTACAAATACGATTTAAATTGTTAAATGTTAAGGCACCTTTCGTTAGTAATTAAAATATTTTAATGTAGGAGTTGGATGAGAGGATACACAAAGCGGGGCAGAGTACGAATCAATTAGATGATGATGTGTTCGCTTTTGATGATAATGAAGATGAACAGGTTGCTATACTTACATTTATTTTGTTGTTTGTTAATAGATTCATACATTTTTTTTATTTATGATAATATCTTATTAATTTAGGTGTTAGAGGAAGATGTAATAAGTATAGGGACTGTAAATCATTTTGATGATCATGGTTTTTGATGGCAACAAAGTTGCACCTGATAGACCTAGGATTCGAAATCCATCAAAGTATAGGTGTACTCCTTACACTGAGGTGTTCGTTGAATTTAAAAACTTATATCCTAATTATACGTTTTATGTGAATTATTCGAAACATAATGATTTAAACATTTTAATATTGCTTTATTTGCACATGCATCAAAGCAAAAGAGAAGACAAAAGAAGAATGTTGATGCCAAATCAACAACCCCAGTTCCTCCTCCAACATTCGTTGTTGTTCCTGACTTCTCGGTTTTGTGCCTGCAACCTTATATAGCATGTGGTGAGGTTGTGTTACAAAATTATTTTTTTTCATGCATATAGCATGGAGCACCGTTTATACAATTTAGTATTAGATAGAGAGTACTGGAGTGCATTCTTTTGGCATACAAACAACGGGTGGTTGGATGAAGCGGTAACTATCTTTTATTTTATTACTGTAATTGCTTTTTATTTATTATTTAATAACAAAAGTATTATAACTTTCACGACATCTGATGATTTGGATTAGACTGTTGATGGAGAAACGATTTGATAGGGTCGGTATACAATAATGCTTCCAATTTTTTTTGCTTGCAATATTCTCGAGGATGGTTATGATCGGAGGGCGTTTATGTCTGGTATTGCTACATACCCCAACTTCATGGTTCCCTGGTGGAATGTGGATATGGTAAACTACTATTTATCTTTTGAAATTAATTTCATTATTGTCATTTTGTTTTTGTATCGTGTTATGTAAGCATAATTATTATTTTAAACAATGTATAGGTCCTAATGTTGATTCGTTCATTTCCTAATCAGTGCTTATTTAGGGAACTACGATTGGAGTGAATGGAAGTCCATATTTTTTACAGTCTTGGTAGGAGTACTTACAAAAAATTTGAGTCTTATGGAACCTTTGGCAAATTTGCGGATCGAGCGACAGATCATTTAGACAAGATAAACTATCGGGCACGGAGAAGCATCCTAAGGATTCCATTGGATATGAAATTCATTTTGGAAACAAATGTTCCCCAACAAAGTAGTGAGGTGGGATATTGCGCTGTTTTCATTTGTATGTTTATGGAACAATTAGTTTCAGGCCAACCAATACGTGAACTTATTGACCTAGAAAATGCATCTTTAGAGTTTCATCAAAGGACACTACAAGGAAAACGCGATTTTGCTAGGAAAGGATTCCGTTGTAGAAAACTGAAGTTCCATTGCATAGGACGAATAGCAATGGAATTTGCGACGATCGAGTTCCATCCCAAAAAACTCCGTAGCGAGATTTTGCTAGGGAAACAATCATTTATTTATAATTGTGAAAACGAAATGAAATATGTGGTAGATGGTGTTCTGTCGTGTATTCCGTAGTAGGATTCCATCACAAATTCCGTGGTAGTTATTCCATCACAAATTCCATTGTAGTTAATCTTTAGCAAAACCCGTTATGATGATTCTCTAGCAAATTCTGTGGTAGTGAATCCCTAGTAAATTCCGAGGTGGTCATTTCCTAGTAAATTCCGTGGTGGTGATTCCCTAGCAAATTTTGTGGTGATGAATCTCTACCAAATTCCATGGTGTTGATTCCCTAGCAAATTCCATGGTGATGAATCCCTAACAACTTCCTTTTGATGACTTCCTAGCAAATTCGGTGGTCATGAATCCCTAGCAATTTTCGTGGTGTATATTATATAGTAGATTCCACATCAATGATTCCATATGGACAAATGGATAATTGATTTATAAATTAGATCATAATTATTTTGTAGTAATATATGAAAGCAGAAATAACAAAAAAATCAAATAACATTATATCATAAAATAATACAATAATTATTTATAACATGGAAAAAGGAAAGTTGTTAATCTAAAATAAATACTTTGCAATAAACATATATCAACACTTTATGACCTACTAGTGTTGTTGTTTTGTAAATACATTAATAAGATCTTTTGCCGTTTCAAGTTGTTTTTCAAGTTGCTTGACTCTTGCGTTGTTTTGTTCTTCTTGTGCCTTCATCATTTCTTTAAGCTCTTCGTTTTTCTCTTTTTGTTTAGCAACAAGTTCCCTCATTTCATCTATTTCATCATTTTTTTCTGGAATGTAAGATACATTCGTTTTACCTTTCCTATTGGGAACCGCCATTGCGAAAGAGCCTAATCCATAAAATCTTTTTTTTTTTGTCATGACCACCAACAACATCATAAAATAGCTTATCCTCCTCAAATTCAACACCTTCAGCTTCCAACTCTTTCTGTTTTTCTGTATAGGCCGCCTATAAAATAAAAATAATATAAGTTAAAAGATACCAAAGTTATGAATGATATTATGGGCTAGCTACAATATAAAATTTTAATTCCACTTAAATGAATATTACATGAATTGTTCTATCTTTTTCATTTGTGAAAGTGACTCCATCGTGATGCTTCGTGTGTGTATACAGGAACAATTCAATATGGGGTGGATCACGTCCTAATTTCCTTTTCTGCATAAATAGCATAAAATGTCAAATATATAGATAAACATATATAAACATTGATGTACCCACTACAAGAAAAAGACCCTTTTACGACGCGCAAACAACGACACTCGGAGATAGATGTTACGCAAAAGAGAGTAACGTTAAATAAGTGTCATCTCTTCAAAAAATTTAAGGATTTAGGTCGCGCATTATTGCGTGCCCTTAAATTAGTGTCTAATGTAAAAAAATAAAAAACACGGAGGGCACTTTAGCTAAAAGGTGTGTCGTCTATGAATGTCGTTTTATATTTTTTTAAGAAACGCGCTTCTCACTTCTGCTTAGAGGGAAAATGAAATCCCCAAATTTTTTAAACCCTCGCCTTCTTCTCCCTCGTCTCCACCCTCACCCACATCCATTTCCTCCAATCCTCGTTGCCTCTTCTAGTCTCAAACCCGATCCTCGCGTTAAATGGTTCAGTGACTGCAACTCCTTTCGATTGTAGCGCTGATCGACAACTACGACTCATCAACCGTCAATTGAAGCTACCTGTTGAACAACTCCTAATCGAAACCTCAACCTTCTCGTCTCTCCTTCCCCCAAAATTTTGAACATCCTCCTTCCTCTTCCTCTGTACTCTCTACACCCGCTAGATCGATTTCATTCTCTCCCTTCCTTCTCTCTACAAACCCCTTCCTCTACGATCGACTTTCACTCCTTCTCTATGCAAACCCTAATCAGACATAACGCATTTGCAATGGTAATATCTTCTTTCACAAAATAGACGATTGACCGAAGAACTAGGGCTTTTGATGAATCATGCATTACCAATAACGATAGCTACCCATCATAATTTGTGTTTTCTCTTGGACTCCACCATTCTAACATCGCACCACAACAACGATTCAAGCCACGAATCAACAGTTTTGAGTTTTTTGGCTTCAATTTTGAAGGTACGTAGACATGATTTTAAAGTTCTGAACTTTTTTCTTTCCTATGCTACCACTTCCCCCCTTTCCTTTTTATTTCACTCTCCTTGTAATTACAAATAAATTGAGATAGAGAGTCGGTCTATCGATTAATCAACCATGGTGGATGATTTGGTGTAACTATCACCTGTTATAGTTTTTTGAATTTTTTTGTTCGAACAATGCATGCCAACTGTTCGTTGAATTGCTCAAACGAAACTTCCATCAAAAAAAATCAACTGATGGTCTACTTTTTTGTCCAGATTGCCCAGAGAGTGAAATATTAGCCGTTGGGATGGCACCTTATGCTCATCTGGCGGTTTATAAAGTATGTTTTGGTCTAGATTGGCCAGAGAGTGACATCTTAACCGGGCTTGATGCTGCAGTAGCTGATGGAGCTGATGTGATATCAATTTCTATTGGAGAAGAAAACATGCCTTTTTTTCAAGACAGCATTGCAATAGCCTCATTTCAAGAAAAAAATGCCTTTTTTTCCCAATGTAATGTTCGGTAAACTGATGCAAATCACCAAGAGGATGAAGGGCCTTCAATGGTGCTTTGTTTATTACACTATGGTAGCGGAGATGACGGTGTTGTTGATAGCCCTAAACAATAGTCATCTTAAAAGAAATTATCAAAGAGAAAGGTACGTATCAGTTCTAGAGTTCTTATATAAAATTAGGTCAGCTGTACCCTTCTTATATAAAATTAATGAAATCGATTTTAAAAGCAAGCCATAATATTGATTTTGAAATCGAGCACCAGATTTCGGAATATAGCCCTGCCTGTTACCATTAAAATTTACCCCTGCTTCTGATTTTTTAGCTTCCTGGTCAGGCCGACTCATTGAACTATTCCCCACAAACCCTTTGACTTCCGAAACATCACCCCCATCCTTGTTCTTTCCCATAACCTTGTTACTTTTCCAACTTTGCCCCTGTTCAATCTTTGAATCATTAGACTTTCCTTTCATTGGCTCAATATTCCCATAATACCCCTGCCCATTTTTACCTCCTGTCTTCCCACCTCTATCAAAACTAAATTCCAAATTTTCCTGATTATTCCCATTATACCCTTGATAGCGAATTCCAGCAGAAGCCCCAGAATTTCCAATTTTCGGATAATTCCCTTTTTGCCCCTGCTTGCGGTTTCCAGCAAAAACCCCTGCACCTTCATTTTTCGAGAAATTCCCTTGATGCCCCTGACTCGAAAACTGTTTTTCCCCCACTGTAGCTTCTTTTGACAACAAATTTCCATTATTTCCTTTGGTTTTCTTCACCACATCAACAAACCCATCATTTTGTTCCTTAACTTCTTTAGTGCTGGCAAGAAGCACTTGCATAAGATCCATAGTAGCTCCTTCTTTTCCTTTCTCTATTTTACTTCTCTCCTCTTCTTCTTTCATCTGAATAGCAGTAACATCAATCGAGATTAGTGGAAATTGGTTTTTATTTTTTATAGTTATACTTGAGAAAACCTTATATGTTTTTTTTTATTTTGTGAAAATTAATTCCAGGTGAAAACAGAAAATGGTATGTTGTGTTAGAAAATGACAATCATACCCTTGGTCACAGTAGTCTCATATCACTATTTCCATTCTCACCTTCACTCCAATGCCCATTATTAGAAGAAATCAATGAGCTCCTTGCCAACTCACAAATTGATTCTGTTTTCCATCAGATCTATAGTCATATTGTAAAACTCATACCTTGAGCTATAGAACTCAAACGGACCCCAAACCAGTTCCCAAAGTTCACAAATTGAGTTGGCTAACTTTCTTAAGCAGCCCAACTTCACTGGTAAGGACTTTATCTATGTGCAAGAATGGAATCTTTGCTGTTAGGTCTGATCCGGGTCTGTTCTGATATGTCATTTTGTTTTCATCATTTATAAGGCTTGGAAAAGGATCCAGAGTGATTCCAAGTTTCTATATGTTCCTGATATTATGAATTTAAGATCTGGAGCAGATGGGGTGTTATTTCCAATTATAAATTGGTTAGAATTGATCCAGACTCCAGATCAGTGGGCAGTCACCAGCTTTTACTAGTGTTGTGATTGTCCATAATGTGAATTTTATATCCGGAGCTTGGGAAATGCTTTTCATTCAATTCCAACTCTGAGACTTTCATTTGTATGTCCTTTACTTCTCTGAATTTTGGTATGGACGAATTCTACTCACAAGTTGGGTAGAATTGGCCAACCTCACTTGACTGTCTTGTTGGAGATAGAAGTGATACACCTTTTTGTAAAATTCATATTTAATTCATCATTTGGAGTTAGAAGGAGTTCTTTATAGTTCTGGAATCCTGAACAATCATAGTTTTCTATAAAATTTAGTTAAAGCTATGTTTCTGTTTTATATTTTGGAGTAAATCCGTTTTGAACAGCAGGTCTGTTTTAGAGACCTTGCTGTGATTACTCTTTTCTCAACTCATAGCTTCATTACTTCTCCTTTCTAACCTTTAGTCCTTCTAAGATGGATTTTAAAAGTTTAAAATTTTTGCAAGTGTGCTATTGAAAATGAAGATAAACCCAATTGTGCTACTGAAAATGAAGAGCTTGTTCAGGTATCTCAATTTCCAGACATACCCTTTTGGGTTTTTCACTTTCCTGAAATACCCTTTTTGATCTTTTACAATTTCCAAAAATACCCTTCTTGGTGCCTAGGAGTTACAGTGTTACCAGTTGCAGTTGTAATATATATATATATATATATATATATATATATATATATATATATATATATATATATATATATATATATATTACAACTGATAATGATAAGAAAACAAGGTAAAGGTTGGAATATAGAATGAAATGGAATGGAATGAGTCATTCCATTCCATTTCTTCCCTCTCTATTTTCTCTCTCTCTTTTATTCTAATGATCAAAGTTCTTGTTTTTAATATCAGTTTCCCTGTTCTCTTTTATACTTGATGCACCTTTTATTTGCAGGCTTGGCCTGTGCGTACTCCAAGGCCTGTTGCTTTCAAGCTTGTTGCTGATACCCCTCTTCTTACTGGACAGGTAAGTTTCAAATCTTTTTGTTGTGGATTTCTTATAGTTTCTTTTTGTTGTGGATTTCTTATAGTTTACTTAGCTTCTTAAATCAAAGAGTATAAAGATTTCCTAATGTGTTCTAATAATTAAGAAAACGGTGTTTTTTTGAAAAATGCTTCTCAATTTATCTTATTAGGAAGAATGGAGAACAGGCCTCAAATCATATGTTTTTTTTTCCAGTAACTTCCACTTCCTTCATGGGTTTGTAACAATACTGATGGACTTTGCTATTTTGTTGTATGGTGTATTACCTTGGATATAATTTGTTTTTACAGTTTTCTCTTTTTATTTAATTTAAATTTGGATATAAGTTTGTAACACATGGGATTTATGATTGCAGCAAACAATCTTTCTTTTCTTTCCAGACATGATTAAAGACATGTTTTTGGCTGTAGTTATTGGACCACCTGTTGTGGTTGCCATCATTTTGATAGTACAGGTATTATTCTATCTCTGAGAAATTTCATTTGCCATGTCATCAAAAGCTGCCAGATGGACTATTATCTTTCATGTTTGAGTTGGTTCTCAACTTGTAGAAGAATAACATAAAATATTTTGGCATCTGAGTGTAAAAAATAATATTTGAACTCATAAGTTCCTTAATAATACTTTATTGTGTTACATGTAATTTATTACTTACTCATAATATATAATTCAATCTGATTATTGATTATATATTATGAGTAAGGAGAGCATTCTAAACATTCTGGAAACTTTAAAAGAAGAGGGAAATAGGGTCTTGTTCAATGTTTTAGCTGTGTTTGCTCTAAGGGAGATAAACTTATCAAAAGTAAGTTATTGTTTCACCCTTTTATTTAATATTTTTGTGATTGAATGAAAGTCTTAATGAAAGTAATTGACAACCCTTTCTCTGTAAATGATGTTGTGATTGTGGGAGAGGTGTTGTGTTTTTCTCTGTTGCTAGGTAACCTTCTCAACAACAACATTCTACTTAAGCAGGTGAGTAATCAAGATTAAGGGAGACTTGTAATCATGTTTGACATTCCTTTCCAGTAAGAAACAGAGTTGTATGATTATTTGTTAGTTTTATAGAAATGTATAACCCATGTTAGCAATGTATTATTTTTGTTTAACATTTGAATGATTCTTTGTATGACATTACAATTTGTGTAATTTATTTTATTTTTTGAGTATGAAATTTTATTTTATATTATGCAATGGATTGTATTTTTTGTATATGGTATTTTATTTCTATTATGAGAAATTAAATGCAAATTTAATTTAAAAATTAATAAATATATAAATTTATTTTTTTAAACATTTAAATTTACGATACGCAAAAATGTGTGTCATCTTCATTTATGACATGGCCTTTCTTGACAGGGGCTTTCTTGATACGCATTGCGTGTCATTAACACGCGCGTCGTAAGGTTACGACACGCGAATGCGTGTCATCTTCCTTTATGACAGGGCCTTCCTTGATACGCATTGCGTGTCGTAAATGTGCGTCGTAATTGCGCGTCGTAAATGAGCATCGTAAATGCGCGTCGTCTATAGACGACGCGCAAAAGCGCGTCGTCTCTCTTTATGACAGGGCCTTCCTTGACACGCATTTGCGCGTCGTCTGAGCCTTTTACGACGCGCAATGAGCGTCGTAAAAGGCCTTTTTTCTAGTAGTGACCATTAAAAGATTACCAAATCAGAAGCTATCTTTAAATTAATTGCGGACCCAACGTTATATGTAGGTTGTGCTACTCCATCAGCCACAACGTTACACCTATTTTTCTTGTTTTGCTTGGGTTTTAGCTTGTATTTATCTATCTTCCATTTTAATTACCAGGAGTTCCAGACTTCATGTGGAATATGAGCTGGTTTAAAGCCATGTTGGTTTCTTTGTGGGCTCCACATGTTGTAGAGATATTGTCGATAACTTTGTGTCGCTTTCCTTGCCCAAGCTTGTCTCACCAGCGAGTCTATTGTTTCATCCCAACAACATTTCTACACACTAACAATATAAACATAAGTTTAAATGTAAATGTTTACTAAAAAACAATTTATCACATATAGTTAACTACCTGGAACTCCTCCCAATATAATTCATGCATTTCTTTAGTTACTTTTCCTCAAGTGTACCCTTGTGGATCTACTCTTTATAAAAAGGACCAGCTAATAAAGTGTGCACAAGGGCCTGGTCGCATGACCATGCAAGTAATCATGTGATCGGTTTAGTTTTGAATTGATATGTATGTGTAAACCAAAAGGTTATACATTGATTGACCTAGAGCGCCCATTTTATCCCGATTCAGGAGAGCATCTCGGCCGAGAAGTTTTCCAACATCTATATCCGGGAGGTGGTGCCGCGGCACGGTGTGCTCGTTTCTATGATTTCGGACAGGGATATGTGGTTCCCTTCCAGGTTTTGGAGGAAGTTTCATGACGAGTTGGGTACTCGTGTGCATTCTAGCACCGCCTTTCACCCGCAGACAGATGGTC